ATTTACAAGAATAAGTTTATTTGAGGACCAAGCACCAAACGCAATAAGCACCCATCAATCCACAGACACTTGTCTTTGAATTTTTTTGCCTATCTACTTTAATATAACACAAGGTACCTAACTCATATATTTGAGAAATGTCATCCGGATCATTCACTGCGAGATTAACATTTCCAATCGGCCGTGAGAAGAGGAAATAATTACGGTTGACATACTTGGAAGGCTTGTTACGAATGATTCCGACAATATAAAAAGGTGTTATACACCATTTTGTAGATAATTTAGTGTAAATTTACGACATTACAAGGTTTAGTGGGATAGACATCCGCAGAATCAAAATATTACGGAAGTTCGCCACCGGGTGACATTTCTCAAATATATGAGTTAGGTACATTGTGTTATATTAAAGTATATAGGTAATTTGTTTTCAGAGACAAGTGCCTATACGTCAACCGCACGGCTAAACATATATTTTTTTGTAATAAACTAATTGAAATCTGATTATAATTATTTTAGTTTTGCCCGGTCGAATGGCGCCATTCTCGCTAAATCAAGGGCAAAGTCTACGGACGAGGAATCCTAAATAAGTTTTACACGAACAAAACAAAACGCCTTTTCCTAGACCTTAGATATAGGAAGATGTGGTATGAGTGCCAATGAGACAACTCCCCATCCAAGTAACAATTTATAAAAGTAAACCATTATAGGTCAAGGTACGGCCTTCAACACGGAGCATTGACTCAAACCGAACAGCAAGCTATAGAGGGCCCCAAAAATTTACTAGTGTAACACCATTCAAACGGGAAAAACCAACGGTTAAATCTATATAAAAAACGAGAAACGAGAAACACGTATGAACTACATGAACGTATGATAAAATGTTTCAATTCAGCGTTCCTTAGACAGAACAAGATAAATAATATATAATAACTCCGTGTTTAAAACTTTTGAGTACGCAGACAGCTTTTCCCTCCTCAGGTATGTTTAATTGAGTCGATATAACTTTTGCATGATAACTTTTTTGACAAGAAATCAGGGATAGCTATAGATACATTATTTTAAGTATGATACAGTGTCATGTAGAAGAATACCGTTACTGATAAAAACACTTGTTTACAGTGTATTACAGAACTGTTAGCTGAACATATTTCAAATGATTGAAAACGTCTTCTTATCTTCAAAATTTAAAATGAAAGTATACCGGTTTTGTATTTTTTCTTGTCAATGTATACCAGAATCTCATATTTACATGTAGTATAATTAAAATTAGTCGCTAAACAATTAAAACAAAAGAACACTGTCCAGTCGTTAAAAATTCATCAATAGAAAAACAACATTGTGATGTGAATTTTTCATATGCTTAGGTAAAAATGTTCAGCAGAGGGGGTATAATCAAGTTTGGAAACGATAGGAATACATGTACATGTAGTCTTTTAAAATCAACCACAATATTTATTATAAGAAAGTCTTATTATTTATTAGAATTGGCATTTTCAACATCATGTAGACAAGTTTAAAGGTGCATTAGCTGTCAAATTCATGATCACCGAATTGACTCAAATTCTAATATTTAATGTTTAACATACTAAAACGTATTTTCAAATTACACTAAGTCTGAAATAAACAATTAACAATGCATGGACTCTATAATACATACCAACCAGCATTTCGTGTGTATTTTAGTCTAGACGACATCTATTTAACTATCGAGATGACGACGGTCACATAACCCGATATAAACATAATTTAAAACATAAATATGAATAGAAAGTGACATCGTGCAATTGGACTTTAGTAGGTCTGTTTGATTTGATGTTATAGGTTAAAAAATGGCCATGGGTTAAATTGAAGGTCACATGACTACTGATTCAATAAAGTCAAATTATTCACTTGCAAGTAAATAATTCACTAGCGATGTTTCATAGCTTTTTATGACCAAATTGAACTAAACTGGCTGTTTAAAGCGAATTATTATTTCACTATTTTACTTTCATTAATAATTGAAGAATTGCGTTTGTGGCTACAGTGCTGTGCTTACTGAATAAAATGCCATTCTGACTCTACACTTGATCTGAAAGAATGTTTAATTCCGCCTCCGTAAAGTTAAAATTCGCTTTTTGCTCATTATTTTACGTGAAGATGAAGATGAAATGAAACGCACCATCGGTTATTAACTCGCATATAAAGAAATTGTGCTTGATTTTAAACTTTGAACTTCGTGTTTCACGATACCATGACACTACAAATTCAATTCTCATTTCAAAATAAATTGTTTTTCAGTTTAAATTACAATTCTTTTTTTTTATATTATTTTATAATTACATCTGATATCATGCATTTAATTATATACAAGTAATTATAAAATTTGTAAACAATTATATATATTGGTTTCGTCATTAATAAATGTTTTATAAAAAAATAAATTACTCTAACGATTTAAAATTTCGCACTTAGATATGTTTAGGACGTCCTAACATAAGATGCGTCTGAGATATCTTTGAGCCACAACTTAAGAGTGTCCTAAGATGATCCTAAGTCGATCCTAAATTGGTCTTAGAATGTGTCTTAGGATGAATCTGAGGATACTTTCGAGAACACCACCTCTGGAACAAAAACACACGGAAAGCTTAAAAATTGAAAGTTCGTGTAATTGAAGATAGGCCATGGAAAAAAACAGTTTTATCCGATTTCCATTTTCCAAGTTCGCATTTGTGCTCAGAATGCACATCAAACAATAAATAGCCTCAGATTAAGGGAACATGCATCAACTTAGTAATTATGTCATAAAGTTGACATCTAAAAGTATGAGAGTCATGTGAGCCAAATAACGATAGTTTGGGTAAGACCGTCATATTACAGTCACCTCATGGTAAGGGCTAAGATACACATTACAAAGATACTTCATGTCGACACCGATCGCGACGTGCTGACTGCTGTGTATGTGATACACCAGGACACAAAACGTCCACCAACATTGGCATAGAATCAGTGGTTTTATGAAATATACCAACTACATTCTACATGCACTCGTCATGTCGTTGTCCTTGGTCGCTGTTTCTTGGCATATATATTTTTTTGGGAATCTCAAATTTGAAATTAATTAGAATTTCTATTCTTAAACATCTTTATTTTTTGTAAATTTTGTCATCACGGGGCCTTTTCATCGCTAACTTTGCTTATTGTGGAAGGACGTTGTTCACACCGTTGTCATTTGATTAACAAAATAGATGACTCTTTTGCTATTATATCACTTTTTCTTTTGTGTACAGCCATGAGCATGTAGACACATAGTAAAAAATACAAACGCAACTGTTAAAATGGTGCAAGAACCATACCACTACGATTGAATGTCAGGGTGGTGTACAGTGCATATCATTTGAGCATGGCAGCTGCATGCCATTTACGTCCTTGTCTGAGACACTGCTAGTATGTGCACTATGACCTTTTATAATATTTCGTATATCTGCCACTACTCAAAGAACATGGGGTAGTGTGAAAATATACTGTAATACTTAATCAATAACCGATGTATTAAGTTCTAAATAACAATTGATTATTTTTATGAACATCGGTAAACTACTTTCACCTCCATTAGAACCACAAAGCATAACAATCTATAGAATAATTACACACTTTATTATTATAATCATCCTTATGAAATAAATTCATCATAGATACCGGGCAAACGTTTGTATGCGAGACGCGCGTGACGATCGAACAACAAAAGTTAAAACGTCCAAATAAAGTACGAAGTTGAAGACCATTGAGGACCCAAATTCCCAAAGGTTTTGCCAAATAAAGCGAAAGCAACATTTAAAGTAATTAATTCCAGGAGGAAAATCCATAGAATGTCTATAAATCTATAAATTGAAAGTTTTGTAAACAGTAAAATTAGAATTATGATCATATCAATGATTATTCATGTCAACACAGAAGTTGGTGAACGATCTGAGAGGAAACCTCCATCAACAGTAAGATTTGCAAAATGCCCTGGTTTCTAAATTTTTTTCTGCAATATAAAAAATATCACCATCTATTTTCTTATAATCATACTGCAACTTAAGGATTGTAAATGGAGAAAATTCAAATTTTACACATACTTTTTTTCTAGAACTCTGTGTTGACAATGCAAGGTTGAAATTGCACTTCATCTAATCGATTATATCTTCTAGAAAATCGTGACGACACCAGAAATAACTGCTTTGCCTTAAGTAAAATAAAGTAAAATACACCTTTTGGTGACCGTGACCGAGACAAAAGGTCAGCGAGTCATTGTTTCCACAAAGTTTGGTATGAAGCAGGAAATTTTGTTTCTCTATGCAGAACATTGCAATTTTCAAACCGGGCCTGTTATAGGCCTTTATACAAGATGTTAGGGATAGCTACAGCTTCACAAAATATTACAAAATTGTGATCGATTTTTAAAAATAGCCTATTAAGGTTGAACATTTTTAGAAGTAATATAAAATTTTTCAGCCAACTATTTAATCTTGATTAATTTATTGATTAATTTTTTTTTCGAAAAAATAAAATATGAAAAAAATATAAAACAAATAAGGGTATCATATATATGCATTTGCTAACAGTATTTGCTAATTTGCCGTTAACTTACAACACATATTAGAGGGTCATCTCTTTCAGAAAAGTAGATATGACAAAGTGTATGGATAATTGATACATCCTTATAATATAATTTTTACAAAGTTTAATGTAAATATCAATGTTGGCTAGCAGGTATATTTTCTTCTTCAGTACTGAATCTATACATACTTTAAAAGAAAAATTTGAATTTGTTCATATAGAAATGAATATTGTTACATTCTTAAAAAACCAACTTTATATTTTTTATTCAATGTTGTAATGAAATAAGATAACTACTGATTACTTGATATCCTTTTACAGGAGATGTAACTGACCCGAAATGTACCGGTATGTTAATTATCCTGCAAGGTAAAGCCCATACCTATGTTTACTAACATAATTATCGATCGTATCCATGGGTAGATTTACATGTAAACATAAGAAGGGATTAATTAGGACGACGATAAAGGTATTTTGTTTATATATTGGTTTTATGAATTTAATGCATTTTTCAATAGAACGATTTTTCCAAGTGGATTATTTTTCTGACATGTTTCACTTTCAATCGTTTGCTGTATTTTTTCGTGATTTGTTTATTGCATTTACTGACATGTTTATAATATGAATTGAATAAACATCGATCAATATACACATTTTGTAATAAATCAGGCAATTGGTTTGGTTTGTTTGTATAGTTGACTATATGGTATGGATTACGCTCATTGTTGAAGGCATTATACGCTTGTTTGCATCCACCTTATTTGGACTCGATAATTGTCTTGTTGGCAATCATACCACATCTCCTTATTTTGTTTACATTTATTTGTATTTATATATTTACGCGGTAAAACTAGCGTCTTTTTTTTTTTGGTAATGAAAACAATGTCCACATTCAGGAACATCGGTTCACCATACGTTAAAATGAACTAATTTTGAGTCGAACATAAAACATTTATTACAAATGAATATTTAAAAAGTGTTTTGCGATAATGATAATTGTAAATATTTTATAAAGGATTTTTTACTATTTGATTAATAATATTAATATGTTTTTCGTTCTTCCAAATAACAGTTAATATATACGTCAGATCTCATTAAGATGTCAGCAATAAGAACCAGAATTTGCGACAAAGCAGACAGTGGCAGAGATGAAAACTTGGCTACTGTTATAAAACGAATGAAATCAAGTTTTGAAAAGCAAGACTTAGCACTTATTGTTAATGGAGAAAGGCTGTTTATAAACAAAGCTGAATTAATGGAAAAGTCGCCTGTTTTCAAGACTATGTTAACTGCAGATTTTAAGGAGAAAAACGCGACTGAAATAGAATTGCCAAATAAGGACTTGTATCATTTTTTATTGTTTCTAAGATGTACACTGGACGGGTATGAAGATAAAATAAACGGTAAGTTTTGTGGTTTTCAAAATTGGTGTCTTTTAAATTGAATTTATCGACAATCTATGAAAATTAATGGTTTTCATATCCCCTTTTGAAAGCAGGAGTTACAGTTAAAACATTTCCCTTGCAAAATTATAAACCTGAGAAAAGACAGATATGAAGTAATGGGACTAATGTATTAGAACATATTATGCACCCATTTCAAGAGATACATATTGTATGAGACAAGTATTTTACAGTTCAGGAATATTTGAAATAATGTATGAATCTCCCTCTGATGAAGGTAAATCTAAAAAGCGTTTCGGACGCATAACCTTTATGAATTGTTATTTTTATTTCTTTAATTGTTTTTCTACAGGCACAAATGTTCACTCCATCATTCCACTGGCACATGAATATCAGGTGGAGAAAACTTTGGATAAAGCTGATTCGTTCTTGTCAAAGAAACACAAAGATACCGGATTTGACAAATGTCGATGTCAAATGATAGTTGATGGTATTGTTGAAGCTGAAAAATTCGGTCTTACTGAAACTTTGAACATGTTGATTGATTTTGCATCAAGAAAAAAGTTTTCAGTCTTTTCAAAAGCAAAAGGTTTCGATGTAATTACCACCCAAACTTTATTTACAATATCGATGACGAGATGGCAAAATGATATTGATGCTCATACTGGCAAAACAAGTTTTTCGCAATATTATGTAAGTGGCGTTTCAGAATAATAGTTTTATTTCAATATCCATCATTTTGAGTAAAGCAGTTAAAACACGTTATATCAATGTTATCTCAACATTCCTCTTGCAATTTTGTTCGGTATTTTGCTTGATTATAAGTCAGTTCAGTAACTCTCTATGTGATGAATGATTTTGTACCAAAAAGACTACCTTTTATAATAAAATGGATACATTTGAACACAACAAAGCATTTCATTCATTGACAATAACTGAAACTCTTCAACTTACAAACAATTAATATGAGATTGTCCATTTATAAATAATATATTTATGATTATACTGATGCTAATACAGAAATAATAAGAAACATAAAGCAGTAAAGCAACTTGGAAACAATAGTCTTCCTGTAAAACAATACAGGTAAAGCGCAATATGAATTTGCTATATATATCAATCTACGTTTTTTTTAACATATGTTGTATGGGGCTGATATTGGTATTGTCTCAAAACAAGTATTTGGCAAAACCATTCTGAATTTTGGGTATTCAATACTCTTCAATTTCGTTTTTTGATCAATTGGCATTTTGTTTCGAGCGTCATTGGTGGATACAAATCGCACATCTTTGCGTACATAATAATAAGCCACCACCACGGATACGAGCTAAGAACCGATATAAAAGTCATTTTTAAACTTAATTTAAAATGGTAAAATCAAAAGCTCAAACACATCTAACGAATGGAAAACAACTGTCATATTCCTGACTAGGTGCAGGCATTTCTTTGTGTAGAAATTGGTTGATTAAATCTGGTTTTATAGCCAGCTAAACCTCTCACTTGTATGGCAGTCGCATAGAAATCCATTATATTGACAATAATGTGTGAGCAAAACAAACAGCCGTAAAAGGTAAAAACGTCAAATATTGGGGTACAGCAGTCAACATTGTAATAAAATCTAAATCACTAGAGAAAAACAGATAACTGTTTCAACAAAGAAACCATTATCATGTGGATCAAATTGCTTGATATGGGAAGTTGCGACTTTGATGTGTAGCTTGGATATGTCATGGTAGCGTCGAACTTATACAGTTGCTATATGATGGCGTCCAGTTATGACAAATGGTCTCTTTTTTCGAAGACTCACGTCAGATCTGACGTTTTGTTTACTTTGGAATTGGTGCCCATTGTTGATACACGGATCGTTCAAGGACATAACATGCATATTAAGCGTGTTTTAAAAGATTTTTAATTCCCTCCATCCACATGAATAGAAAATTTCGTGAATGATGTACAGTGTATTACATATGTTACAAACATCCTTGATTTCGTTATCGTCATCTTTCATATTTGATAAATTTCATAACGTGTAATTATATTATAGCAGATCTATACTGTGTGTAATATGGCCATAGCGAAGCGGGAAAAATAAAAATAAAATAACTTAAGTTAAAACACAATCAATGGTTTGTTTATGACGGAAGCCATAGTAAAGTTTTTTCGGATACCACGATCGCATTTTTAAAACACAAACTTTAAGGAATTCCAATTTCCAAGTGGATTGAAGGCAGGTAAATTCTTTGCCACAGCATTTTCCATTGTATAATCTATTATGTTGGTGCAACCCTGGCTTGAATAAGACATATGATACTGCGCAATACAGTGGATGGTTCGTATAAGCGTGTATTGTAAGAGTACCATGTTTTCCTGGTTGTAAACCTAATCATAGAACCACAAAATAGGAGCTTATTTGAGTTGATTTATCAGAATTGGTCCATATTTCATATATCAGCAATACTTTTTGTTAGAATAATGTGAACCTGCCTTCACTATTAAACCTTCTGTCTTTAGCGACTATATGATATATCGAAATGCATTAGTTGTAACATAAACGGTTCCAATTTTAAAGCACCAGTTGCGCATTTCAATAATTAATGGCTCTTCAGTTATGATTGAAGCCAAAATCTAATACAAATTTTGAAGAGCGGATCAAACTAAAACGGACCTAATGTATAGCCAAATTGCAAATCCGTACAAGGAATCTTAGCTTTGCATATACATACTTCTTGACATACTAGTATGTCCTATAACACATCTTGACCTATACCTTTTTCTGCGTAAAGGTTTGTATCCTATTTTCAATCACAAGGTCAAAAAAGGCAACAGTAGGATACCGGCATTATTTGGTGTAGAAAATGGTGGATTAAACCTGGTCTTATAGCTGGCTAAATCTCTCTGTTCAGTTGTATTGCAGACGCATAAAATTCCATTATATTGACAACGATTTGTGAACAAAACAAACAGACATAAAAGGTAAAAATGTCATTAATAGGGGTACAGCAGTCAACATTGTGTTATAATCGTAATCACTATATAAAAACAAGAAATATGTCAAAAAAGATAAACAAAAAAGTCATATAGACAAAGCACATTAGCAAAAACGAAAAACAAGAATACAACAATTTACCATAGCACAATAGCACAATGAAGGTATGTATAGAACCCAGCCACGTCAAATGGATATTGCCAAAAATTGACTAAACAGTAAAAGTAATAATTTACAAAGACAAATAAAAGAATACTATAACACGTTATTAAGATGAAACACAACGTCAGTACTTAGAATCTATACTTCAAGACCATCGTGTATAATTTGCGAAGTTGATAGGGAATATTTATCAACAAGGTCTTGGTATCTTTCGATGAACTTTTTTAGAAAAAGGACGAGACATTCTTTGATATACACCTGGTTCATCAATTTTCTGCTCAGACATTGGTGACTTTTCACAAAGTCTGAGAAGCAGCTGCAAGCTCTTGAATACCGAATGAGTTGGGAAATGTATATCCCATATGCAGGTGAAGTTGGTATTTTGCTACTAAGGTGGAGGAAATTTATAATTTCAACATTAAAATCGTCTCGTTTGTCATAGATTCTGGTACTGAAAGGAGAACATTTCAATAAATTTACTTCAGGTTTTTCAGTCCTATCCAGGAATGTCTATTGAATAGCTGTTTGTATTAAACACCACTTTCAACACACGGTCACATTTAACTGACGGAATAATCCAAGTACCTGGAAAGAGCCACCAATCGTTGCAATAAATCTGGCGAACCTAGTAAATAAAGATCGTACTTGACTACACCTTCCCGAAAGGGGATTCAAACTTTCAACCAGGTCAACGTCAACAGGCTTGTTTTCATAGTAAGTTAATACCATTCAATTAAAGTTAAATAAAAAAATGGATACATGACGACAAATCTTCACTATTTAACGCACATTGTGACACACGCTTCGAAATACCATGAAATATAACTTTCGTTTAATATGTTTTTTACATAGAAATGTTTTTTTTTGTATTCGTCTGTTCACTGACAAAAAATAATATTTAGCAACTATTGTGCTTTGTGTGAAATTGTTATTTGTTAATTAATTTGACCAATTTTGCTTGCTTTACATCTGTTAAATCTCCATCATAATGTCCCTTTGAATGATGTGGCTGTCAAAATATATTATCATGTCTATCATAATAGTTTTAAAAGGAATTGTTTTTCCTGAAGATAATAAAAGAAATTAGTTATGGTATTGTACAGTGTTTTTTTAGTTTTGGTGACTGGACTAAAGAGATCCCAAAAATGTACTTTTACGAAATGAGGCATATATTAAATAATTTTACACAAATAATTACTAGGATATGAAGGAATAGTAAAGATATTTTTTGATCCTTTGAAAAAAATACCAAAAATGAGATCGACTATTGAAATACCACACTTCATATCTCAACACTTGATTAGTCAGCTGTCAGATAATTAAAAGTTCATGTTGCACATTTGACCTGGTCTCTAATTCATTGTATTTTAGAAGTAAACCACAAAAGTTGCCCCGACTTCAACTAGGACCAATAGATGAATTAATATTAGTCCAATATTCAAGATGTTTCCAATAATATCTAGGTACACCAGAAGACTTATTTAAGCATATTAATTTTAAAGTTTGTCACACAATGTCTACTACAGATTTGTGCGTAAGAAAATTATCTTTTTTAGGCTGTAGTTCATATCTTGTTTTACCACAAACTGTGCTTAAAAGACAGGCGAAAGATACCAGAGGGACATTCAAACTCATAAGTCGAAAATAACCTGATAACGCCATGGCCAAAATTATCATTAAATCTTAAATCTATAAAATTTAAAATTTAATATATAAAAATATTTCCATTATTGTATGTAAAATTGAGAATGGAAATGGGGAATGTGTCAAAGAGACAACGTGTATACCGAGTACGTCACATGAACATAAAAATATATTAAATTCACTTTTAAATGATAGTACAATTTACAGTTCTATTCCTTGAAGTTTATATTGAACCGCCCGATAGTGTTGTGGTGAAACTGCGCGAGGTCGTGGGTTCAATCTCCGGCCTTGGCCAGATCAAACAAAACACTTAAAAATTAGAATTTACTAATTCGCAGCACGTTCGCATATACACATAGAAGTAAGAACAAATACTAATCTGTTCGGAATCAGAATAAAGTTTCCGAGTTGGGTGACATGTCTTCCTGCAGACTGTAACCTTGTGAACTATCAGGTTAAAATCCGACTACTACAACGCAGGGTTTATATTTCCTATCATATTTTCGTCCTGAATATTCATTTAATTTGCCAATGAACGTTACACGTCCATTCATTCAACTCCATCTATCAATTTTGAATTTTCGTATAATATTTTATTTTTTATTTTTTAGGAAGTGAAATCAAGAAATGTTCATATTCAAAACAGATCAAAATGGATTTCATTTTAAATCAAGTGTTTGAAATTGCTAGAGATTATTATTTAAATATACTAAATAAAGTTAAATTGTAGAAATCAAGTTTAATTGTGTGCTTGCAAAATATTCAAATTCTAACTATAGTGTCCTTTAATGAATTGTTAGTTGCTAATTACGATTTTATTCTATTATTACACTTTTTTAACACAAGTTGGTTTTTTTGTCAATTGACGACTGATTCTTAAACGAATTGAATGGGCAAAATATGATACGCTGAAGGTGAAATATAAGTGTTTTAACCAATATCTAATGTAAAATAACTATTGATTTCAACAGTTTTAAGCATATCAAAAGATTAAGTGTAATTAATATATTCGATTACACACTTTACGCGCGTATAAATTTGATATTTCCGTAAGCTCTTCATTGTCAATGAAAATGTATGTCTTTCTCTTATCTCGTATCTCTTATT